CCTCGTCGGCGTCTTTCACCCCAATGGCGTAGACAATGACACCCTGATTCCTCAGTCGCTCTGCTGGAACCTTGACCTTATCCTGAGATTTTCCATCCGTGATGACCACCAGGAACGTGGGGACTTTGTGACCACGAGTGACCACAGCTCTCTCAAAGTGTGGACTCATGAATTCCAGGGCCTGCCCCGTCTGTGTGCCGCCGCCTACTTGACTAATTTCCTCCACAGCTTTCTCCAGCGTGGATGCATCTGTGTAATCGGTCAGATCAAATTCCAGGTTTGGCGAATCTGCGTATTTGGCAACGCCCATTCGGACATGCTGAGGCCCGATACGGAAGGTATCAATAAACTCAATGATGAACTTCTTCATGTCATAGAAGTCAGTGGGGTGAATGCTTCCCGAGTGGTCGATCAGGAAGAACATGTCGGCTTCATCGGTCTGCACGCAGCCTGGAAAGGAAAAGCAAACATTCTGAGTTTTGCACCTTTAAATTTGTTAAAAAAGTCATGATGTTCAAGTTAACTCATGAAAGTGTAAGAGCATGCTGGTCCACACCTTCTTTGATGCCAGCTCTTCTTGTGCTGACTGAGACCGCCTGGTGAATGATGTTATAGCAAAGAGTCCTCTGCAGGTTCTTCTTCAGACCTTTCAGCTTGTCAAAAGTGTCCACTATGAACACGTGCTTGTTGGGGGGGTGGGACGCTATCTGGTTCAGTTCAGCCTCGTTGGCATTTTGGACTCCTACAGCGTAAACGGTGACGCCAGCGCGGCGGAGAGCAGCTGCCGCCTCGGTCACGTTATCCTGCGATTCGCCGTCTGTGATCACGACCGCCACCTGCTGAACGCCCTTATCTTTCCTGCTTCCAGCGTCCTCGGTGAAAATATTTTCGCGAGTGAAGTCGAGGGCAGCTCCGGTGTTTGTACCACCTCCGCGATAAGGCAGGATTTTGATGAAATTCAGCAAACTGTCCGTTTCATTAAAGCTGTTGAGGTAGACCAGCGCTGTGGCTCGGTCGCTGTACGTAACGATACCCACCCGAACTCTCTTGTCACCGACGTCCAAGCCGCTGACGATGGACAGCAGGAAAGAGCGCACCAGGTCGAAGTTCTCAGAGCCGATGCTTCCCGACTCGTCCACGATGAAGACGAAGTCCGCCAGTTTGGCTGCTTTGCAGCCTGTAAAGGGAATCATAATCTCGTTATCACTCAAGCATTCTGATTCAGGATGTGACGATGACACCACACTAATTCTTTTTACTTTTTGTTAATGTGCAGCTTCACCCCAGTTCCACAAAGGTTGGGATGCTGTCCAAAATGGGAACTGTACACAGTTTTGATGATGTTGAAGTGTAACAGAGTTTCGGTTAAATATATCTCAGTGATGTCGGTTCTACTGCCCGTGACGCTAGCAACAGTTGTCTCTTACCACCCTACAGGCTGGCTTTCCACTCATGAATGACTGTCACATTTAAATGCAACTAATAAACACATTTTTGCTGTGAAGTGGTACATTTAACGCAAACCGTCACCTTGTGTTTGCACTGTCTAAAGCTAGCATATGATAAAACTGTGGCTTTCTCACAACAACATAGACTTCATCTGACTGGAAGGCTGTGATTTCTCTGCAGGGAAGGTCAATCTGCATCTAACAGACTGAAAACGTGAAAGTAAAAATCCATCCATCCATCCATTCGCTTCCGCTTATCCTTTTCAGGGTCGCGGGGGGCGCTGGAGCCTATCCCAGCTG